GAGAACTCCAGACCAATCTCCCTAATGAATATAGATTCAAAGATACTCACTAAAATACTAGCAAATAGAATGAAGCAAATCATCATGAAAATCATTCATCATGACCAAGTCGGAGTCATTCCAGGAATCCAAGTTTGGTTCTGCATTTGCAAATCTGTAAATGTTATATGCCATATCAATGGAGCCAAAGACAAAAACTGCATGATCATTTCAATAGATGCTGAAAAAAACTTTCAACAAAGTCCAGCATGCATTCATGACAAAAACTCTACCAAAAATAGGAATAGATGGGTCTTTACCCTAACTTGATCAAAGACATCTTTGACAGTCCAACAGCCAACATCATTCTAAATGGATTAAAAACTGAAAGCTTTTACTTTAAAATCAGGAACAAGACAGGGATGTCTGCTGTCACCACTCCTGTTCTGGAACCATTAGCCGGAACAATTAAGTGAGAGAAATAAAAAGAATAAGGATAGGAAAGGAAGAAGTAAAACTATCACTATTTGCAGATGACATGATACTTTACATGGAAGACCCCAATAACTCCAGAAGACTCCTTGAATGAATCAACAAATTCAGCAGTGTAGCTGGATACAAAGTCAACACCCAAAAATCGATAGCATTGCTATACACAAGCATCGAACTGACTGAGAGAGAAATTAAGGAAACCATACCTTTCACAATAACATCCAAGAAATTGAAATGTTTAGGAATCAGTCTAAGAAAAGAAGTCAAAGATCTCTTCAACGAAAACTACAGTACTCTGAAAAAAGAGATCAAAGAAGATTTCAGTAAATGGAAAAATATTCCTTGTTTGTGGCTAGGAAGAACCAACATTGTGAAAATGGCCATAGTCCCAAAACTGCTGTACAGATTCGATGCAATTCCCATTAAACTACCATTAGCATACCTCACAGATCTCGAGAAAACATACCTTGAATTCATCTGGAACCAGAAGAGACCTGGAATAGCAAAAGCAATCCTGGGCAACAAGGATAAGTCAGGTGGAATCACAATCCCTGACCTGAAATTATACTATAAAGCTATTGTAATAATATCAACCTGGTACTGGCTAAAAAATGGACCAGAGGATCAATGGAATAGACTGGAAGAAACAACCACAACCAAGAACACATTCAGCCACCTAATCTTTGATAAAGGGGCCAAATAAACTGACTGGAAGAATGATAGCCCCTTTAATGAATGGTGCTGGAAAAATTAGCTTTCTACCTGCCAGAGACTGAAAATAGAACCAAGTCTATCATCATGCACGAAACTCAAGTCAGAATGGATCACAGATCTCAATGTTAAAACAGAAACACTAAATCTATTGGAAGAGAGAGTAGGTAAAAATCTTGAAAACATAGAGGTAGGCAGAGAGTTCATGAACAAGAACCAAAGTGCATGGGAAACACTTCAAAGAATCAACAACTGGGATCTCATCCTACTGAGAAGTTTCTGCACATCTGAAGATATCAGTAGTAGAGTAAAAACAAAACCCACAAATTTGAAAAAAATTTTAGCTGACTGTCTCAGACAAAGGGCTTCTATCTAGAACATAAAAAGAATTAAAAAATATCAGCCCCCCCCCAAATTCAAAGACCCAATCCAAAAATGGGCAGCTGAGATGAATACACACTTCCCAGATAAGGAAATACAAATTGCAAATGTCGTTTGAGAAATTCAAATTAAGACAGCACTGAAATTCCACCTTACCCCAGTAAGAATGGCTATCATTAAGAAATCAACCAATAATAAATGCTGGTGAGGCTGTGGAGAAATAGGAACCCTTCTCCACTGCTGGTGGGAATGCAGACCGGTGAAACCACTGTGGAAATCAGTTTGGAGATTCGTCTGCAAACTGGGGCTAGAGGTCCCATTGAACCTACCTATTCCCCTTCTGGGTATTTTCCTAGAAGATCTAAAAACATCATATCACAGTGATATTTGTGCACCCATGTTCATAGCAGCACAGTTTGTATTTGCTGAATTGTGGAAGCAACCCAAATGTCTGTCCACTGAGAATTGGATAAGAAAATTGTGGTACTTTTATATAATGGAATATTACTCAGCTGTAAAGAAAGATAAACTCGAGGTTTTTATAGGTAAATGGTCACAACTAGAGACCATACTCATAAGTGAAATAAATCAAACATACATGTGCAAGCACCGCATTGTGTCATTAGTGTAAAACCTGAAAGAGTTAATAAAAAGTTGGAGGTATGATACACATTGTGAAATGATAGGAAAATGCTCAAGTGTAAAGGGCAACTGGAATGTGGGAAAAAGAAGGAAAAGAAAAATTTTGTATGTATGTATGTACAAGATAGTTAATATAGTTGATCTACTGCCTTCTTTTTTGTTGCTGAAAGAAACTGTTAATGAGTCCTTGATTGATAAATATTGCATGTCTCTATTTGTTTTCCTGAGAAACCACTTTGAAGATATCAATATGTAATACAACAAGCATTGTTTATTTCCTACCACTTTGTAACTCTGTATTGTTTGTACTGTTCTTTTGCTATTTTGTGAAAGGTTGTCTGTCTGTTAATGTTTTACTCATTTTATTTTCAAAATGAAAAAAATATGAAAAGATAAATGAATTGACAGTTTCTGATGCCTGGTTGAACATATATAATTGCATTTTTTAAGTTTAGAGATTCATGTTGCCTTATCCTTGGATAACATTTTCTGTCTGAACCTTGGGAGCATTATAGATAAAGGACCATTCATTTTTTGGCTTAAATAGGAACTGTAGGGGAGCGGTACAAGCACCTGCCTGGCAAGTGCAAGGTCCTGAGTTTGATTCTCCGTACCAAAAAAAAAAAAAAAAAAAAAAAAAAAAAAAAAAAAAAAAAAAAAACCTAGGAACTGTATCAGATGAATAATTCTGTTAATTTCAACAGAAATTGTGGTTTTTATTTTTCAGTGTTGAAAATCAACCCATGAGCACAAGTCAGAAAAAGGAAAATGTGCTTTCATTAGAAGCAGTAAAGGTACGGTTTTCAATTAACATTAATTATTAATAATGCCAAGCAAATGTTTTTAATTACTGTGCATTCTTTTAGATTCTGTCATCTTATTTTACATTTAGTAAAGAACACTGTATTATTATTTTAGGTGGAAATACAGTTCACATTTCTTGGACATTTATATCTAGAGGTGAGGTGGGGGAAGAGCCTCAAGAAGGGAGTTTAGTCCTGGTCTCCGTTTTGATACTAACCAGAAATGTGCCCTTTGGTTGAGACATTTATGTCTTTGCTTTAGTTTTCTGATCTGGGAATCAAATAACGTGATCTCCCCTGTCTTAGTATCTTATAGTTCTCTAGGAATTTCTTAGGTTTAGGTCACAATTTTTGAAATGCTGCAGACAGCCAATAGTGCTTTCTGGGAAGAGAAATTAATGACATGATCTTACATGTTATCACTATGTGATGGATGTATTTGGTTATCTCGCCTACAAATGGGTCTGTTTTTGCTCCTACAGAAAAGCAAAAAAAAAGGGGAAGTTACATACCGACCTAAAAATTATGGATAAGTGTTTGAAAATTCTTGAAAATCATAAACATTTCAACCTTTATTTTCTTAAGTGATTTTCTAGAAGTTGAATGTTTATGTTTGGTAGTGTATGTGATCACATTTTTGTAGCTGTCTCACAATCACAGTTTTACTTTTCAGTTGCTTTTTTTTTAAACATGATTTATGACAGTAAAGGACTTTCTAGGGATTTCAGGGTAGTTTAGCTTAGTCAGTGAAAGAAACAAAAAGTCATCTGAATTTTTCATTACTGTTATGGGTACTTTTTAACATTTTTTGAAAAATATATATAAAGTCCAAGTACATTAAGTATGATAAGGATAAAGTTGGTATTTTTATTCCTGCCTTCTCTGTCATAGTGAAAGATATCAATATTTACTTTGTTGAAAGAAATAATCAGGATTAGCTTGCTTCCCTTTCTTCCTCCCTGCAAGTTTGGCTACTAATTCTGTTCCTGGTTTTAATGACATCTCATCTGCTTCTCTATAGCCAGTAGATAGCCAGCCTGTTGTTTTGCCATTGTATGGCTCTCTAGCTTTCCCCTTCAGTTTTTATATGCTGTGAGCTGCCCTATGCAAGATTTTCACTTCTAATGCTACATATGAAACTTTACCCTTGTATACTTCACAGGAAGGCTGTTTCCTCTAAGGTCTCCAATCTCAGTGCTGCTTTGGTTACCAGCTCTTGTCTACCCATGTTCTAATTCCTCAAGGCTGTGTTTCTGGTGATCTTCAGCAAAGCTTACAGCATTCTTTGCTCCTTCTCTTGGTCTCTGCTTGTTTCCCTACTTAGCTTATATGTGCTGGTCTACTGTTTCAGCTAAACAAAACAAAACAGAACAGAAGAAAACAAAATTCAGTCTTCAAACTGGAATGTCTGCCTTCTGAGGTTTGCTTCAGAAAGTCAGTTTTGTGGATTCAGTAAATGTATATGATGGCAAATATAGTGAATGTGCCTGTATCGTAATAGTCCTTTCTGTTCTTTATATCTTGGTCCATACTAACAATATTTTTAAAAATTTATTTATTTATTCTTAGTATCTTATAGTTTCCAGAATAATTTCATCTGGGGTCTGGACCTCTAAGTACATGCCACTCATAGTCATGATAATGTTTCTCTTTTGATTTGAGGTCTTTAGGGTTACTTATACACGGGCACCTGGGTTTGACCATAACAGAAAGTACACCTGGCACTCTCTCTGTGGTAGCATTTTGGCCCACATAAGTTTGTTTTTTTAACCTTCTGAAACTACTGGTAGGTTTTCTTCATGCTATTCACACAGAACCAGTTGTTCAGGACTGCCGCTGCAGGCACCACAATGAGTGTGTGTGTTGATAATGCCAACAGTCAGCTCCATAACTTAGGGGGAAATTTTTTAGAAAAGATTAGCAACAACATTTATTACTGTACTATTTAGAACAGTCTCAGTTGAAAATTTTTCATTTGACAAGGAGCATAAAGCGTACTGTTTATTTTCTTTCTGTTGAATAGTTTTCTAAAAATAACACCCCACTGTAGTTGGGCATTGCTCATCAGGCTTCCATCTTGCTAACTTGAATTGTAGAATGCCTCAGTGGTAAAAAGGAAAAAAGTATGCTGCATTTTTCCTCTCAAGTCTGAATCCTAACAGATTTATATATAAGAAGCACATGCTATGTACGTAAATCTTCTTGTATTTACTAAATCAAAATGGCAGGGATATTAAGTTATGAACTTGAACTATTAACATGAATTATTTTAAATAATTATAGCTATATTTTATCTTGATATCATTACAGTCTTGGCTCTTAAAATACTACATATATGCTACACAAATTTTGCTGCGCTATAATATTGTAGCTACTTTTATTTTTGTTTTTTGTTTTTGGTTTTTCTCCGGTACTGGGAACCGAACTCACGACCTTGCGCTTGCCAGGCAGGCGCTTTGCCGCTGAGCTAAATCCCCAGCCCCTAATATTGTAGCTACTTTTAATACTTTATATTCCTCAATTGGAATGTATATTTCTTGTATATTAACAGGTGTTTAGTGTAGCTAGTCTTTCATATATTTAATTCACAATCTAAAATTGTCTTTTAGCCTGAGCATTTGCTGCATTCACACCTACTTTTATTTAAAAAGGGGTAAGGAATATTGTGTCCTGCCTGCCTTCTACCTATTTCAGGGGAACAGTCACCTTTTTCTCCCTTCTAAGGCTGAGTTCCTGAGGTCTGCACCTCCATGCAGTGGGTACTGATCCAAGTGTGTCCTGCCTTTGCTTGTGTCCTGCTTTCAGTGTGTCCATGCCTCAGTCTTAGTCTTAGTCATGTTTTGCCCCCCTGGTCTTAAACTTAAGGGCTCGAGCAGTCTTCCCAACCAGCTGGAACTCCTTGTAGGCACCACTTCACGAACTTAATGATTTTTAAAAAGTGAGATTTCAGTTTTTTAACTAAGAGTAGTAAAGATATGGGTATATCATGGTATAAAAGTTACAATATTTGTTGTACTCATCTTAGGCAGAGCAAAAGAGTTTATGGCTCATCTTCTTTTCCTGTTCTCATTCTGTATTGAAACAATAATTCTGTGATATAGATGTAATGTTATTTTTCAAACAAAATTACTTTAATGATAGAGGATAAATATTTCATCTTTACACCTTAATATTAGCTATAAGATCCATTAAAAATATTGTGGCAAATATATATTGATAGTTACCATGGTGTTAATCCTCATCACAAACTAAATCTGTTATGATAAAAGTAAGTAGTGATTTTAATTTAAAATTGTAGCATCATTGAAGCTCTAACTCAAGATAGGAGTAAGAATAAATTCATGCTACAGTATTTTTCTCAAAATTGGGAGAATTTCAGTTACTAGTGGGAATTTCAACTACTGGTAAATTTGCAAATATGTGGCAGCCAGATGTCTCAGTGGAACACTAGAATTGCCTAATAAGCAGCTGGTTTTAGTTTATTAATGCCAAACCTCAGTAACCATTCATAACTAAAGTAATAGTCATACTCATGGTGACAGCGTAAACAGTTGTTTCCTTCCTCACTGTGGTTACAGGGAAGACATTGACTGGTGGATGTCGGATGAAGATATTTACTAGAAGAACACTCACACTATTTTCATTCTGACAAACTTCACTTGTAGGAATTTTCATGGCAAAGAGAGCAAGGGGTAAATAGTTTTGGAGTAGGAATTGCATTGTACAAAGATATAGTATGAGAGAGAGAGAGAGAGAGAGAGAGAGAGAGAGAGAGAGAGAGAAGGTAAGGTAGTTGAATGGAGCAAGGGAAATAAATACGAATGTATATGCTGACATTAGACATCCTGAGCATTGTGAGGGGCAGCAGATGAAACTAGAGAAGGGCTCAGGTGCTAGATTTACTAGAATCTTGAATGTCATCCAGGGAGTTTGGCAGCAAAGCACAACCCACTGGAAGACTTTAAGAATTACCATATTTGACTTCTGAGAGATTTCTCTGGCTTTTGAATGGACTATAGACTGGGGAGAAACAGGAATGAGAGCAAGAGCCTCAGCAGGAGCAATAGCATAGAAACTGGTTAGGCCACCTCAGGCACTATTCTAGGGGAGAGGTCATGTCCTGATGTGTTGTTTGACTTTAACTGGTGGGATTTTATAGTTTGTAGAAAATGGAAGAATGCAGATAAAGCATGGTCAAGTTCCATTCAGATATACTGATTTTGAGGTCCCACTGGAGCATCGAGATGAAGATAAATGTCTGGTTGTTAATAGAATGTACAGATCCATAGTGTAAAAGTCTGAGAAGAAAATACAAATATGATTAGTTTCTTCCAGTTAATGACCTTTGTGAGAAGAAGCTTATAAAAGGTACATAAAAGTAAAGTGGGCCCATGCTTGAAATCGAAGCAACATGATACATGAGCACAAAGATGTGATCTGAAATAGATAGAGAGACTATATTCAGAGAAGAAAACCTCAGACTGATGTCATGAAACCGAAAGGAATTAATAAAGGGATTCAGTGTCACATTCTTTAGACACATCATATAATATCAAGACTGAAAAAAAGTCAATTGAATTATTAAGTAGGGGAGTATTTCTGAGGTATCATGGTCAGTATGATTAGGAAAAACAAGCAGATTGCAGGGATTTGGGGAGTGGGAGGAAAGAAAGAGTGGGAGGAAAAAAGATGGGGATTAGTAACCCCTTTTTAGTGAAATTTATAGTGAAGAGAGAGATGGCTGTCTCTGCACATGTGCTTTTATGTGGTAGAGGCTTGCAGGGAGGCTGATGAGCAGTGGAGATTCCTGAGGAGACAACAAGGTGTATGAATTGGTGCCTGCTTAAGGAATTAGTTTTGGAAAGGGCACTGTTTCCTCCTTTCATGCATGGTTTGTGAAGGAAGGAGGCCAGATGCTGTGGCCATAAAGCAAGTAGAGAGGAGAGGCACAGTCGAGACTGAGGAATGCCTCTGTGAAGTAGAAGGCAGAGCCAAAGTGGTGACTGGCATGGTGAGCATATTCACCTCGTTTTAGTCTGTCAGTGATTTGGGGTTCTATTTCCCAGGAATACTTTTGCAAATCTGCTCTATTTTGGGAGCCCAAATCCTAGCTCTACCTTTGAGGCCCTCCTTCTGCTCCTTACCTCCTTTTATATTGCCTGGGATTTACCCACTGTCCTTATTCTATCTAGAATAAGAACTGTTTCTTCTCATCATCAAGACTAATAACTCCCTTTTCTAGAGGTACTAGAGACTATAGTCTCTTCCTTTTAAAACTTTTTACTCATCTTCTGGGATCTGTCATTCCTTCCTTTCCAATAAGTATAGAGCTGACCCTCAAAACGGGAACAAAAAGCCACCTTTCCTATCTTGGAACTTAAATGCCACCATTTGTCATTCTTTCTATTTAAAATCTATCAAAAGGGTTCCTTTCTGTTTAGTGACCATTCCTATTTTTTTGCAACCTCTCACTGCATGACACCTCGAGTTTGGGCCTATATTCATAAATTTCTGAAGGATTGTGATGCTGTCTCATGCAGTCTGAGTGATTTTCTACAGTCCTCATCCATGTAGTTATTCCAGTAAATACTTAAGTACCTCTTACTCTCAAGCACATTTCTGTGTGCTAGAGATACTGCAGTGAGTAAAACACAAACTTTTCTACCTTTTTGAAATTTATTTTCTCAAGGAAAAATATGTTAAATGATGTGTATGTGTGTCTCTGTCTGTGTGTATGTTTGCCAGCAAGTACAAGGAAAGAAATTAAACAGGAGAGGCATAGACAATTCTGAAGTAGAGGGGATTGCTAATTTAGGTAGTGATGGAGGGGTTCTTAAATGAAATATGAAGGAGGTGAGGTGGTCTGAGTCATAAAATTATCTGGGGAAGAATATTGTGAGCAGAAAGAAAAGAGAACGCAAAATTCCTGAGGTAGGAGTGTGCCTAATGTTTCTGAAGATCCCTGAGGAGGCTAGACCTCCTCTTTTTTGACCTGGCAATGGCATTTGGCATCCTTCATTCCCCTCTGCCTTTGCAAGTATTCTTTGTCCTTTGCCATTGGAGACCAATATTCTGGAAGGTCCATATTCTGAAAGGATCTGCTTTTGGCCTTTTCCATCTCTTTCTTTTGATTTCTGTGCATTTTTAAAATGTCTATCTTTCAGTCTTTTTCCTTTAAAAAGGGCTCTTTCATTGCTCAACCCCTTACCCTGCTGCACACAGTGTATTGCCAGTTGCATTCTTATACTTCTGTTTACCAGACAGGTCTACTTGTGTATCACCATGGGATCAAAATTTAACACACTCAACATCTAAGTAGTTTATTACCCTGAATCCACCCCTCCAAAAGTCCTAATTCTCTGATTCCTTTTTCCCATTTCCATTTTTTGGCTTAACTATTCAAATGCCAAATGTAGAAAATGCAGTCGTCTGTGACTCTGTTCTCCCTCACTTTCCACTTGTAACTCGCTGTCCTGTGAACTTTATTCTGTATCCTCTGTACTTCTGTCAACTTTATCTACACCCCTGTCATAGTAAACACACGTCAGACATTGTGCCTGAGCATGCTATACCTGGAATATCTGCAGTGTTCTTCTCAACTTGGAGTAAGTTCAGGTGTCACCTTTATGCTGTGGTTTGTTCCCATCCCCGGTTGAGTTAATTATGTCTCTCATTGTGTACATACCTCTTCCAAACTCTACATAGTGGTAGAATGATTAGTATCATACAAGACTGTAATCTTCCTGAAGGCTAGAATGAAGTCTTATTAATCAGTGTACCTCGTGCTTTCTTTTATTTGCCTGTGTTGGGCAGGTAAAAAAGATGGATAAATAATTAGAAAGATAGAACCTTAAGACTAATCATTTCTGTCACAAATAGTATTTATTTTACTGACTCAACTATTATTTTCACTTGACAATTCCTTTCAGAGCATAATTCTTTGCTTTCCAAATGACAGATAATTAGATAGACAGATAATTAAATTTGGACAATGGGTACTGCATTACAACACATTGAGTATGAAGGCAAAAAATTAAAAATTCTCAAGACACATATTCCTTCATCAATAGCATTTATGCAGAATGCTATACTAACATCCTTGAGAGAAGCTGGGATCAGTATTTTGTTTGTGTTTATTTGAATCGGAGTGCTTTCATCTGCGGACTCCCTGGAACAGTGGTTGGCTGACTCCTTAGACAGCAGTTGGCAGGCAGACACGGGACCTACCTAATGAAGGCCTGTGGCAGGCTGAACACCACTGTTGTCTAGACTGAAGGCAAAGACCATCTGTTTTAGATCAAAATTAAAATTTTAACTATTTAAAGACAAATTGTAGTGTAGGTGTTTGAATAGCACTGTTCTGCTCATTTTTGTTTCTAAACTTAGAATCAATTTTTTTTTCTCGTTGAGGGTATTTTAGTTCCTGAGAAAAATGTCTTCTAAGATTATGAGGGAAAAATTAGGCAGATGAAATATTTGAGATAACTAAAAATTCTTTGGCAGATTTATAGTATAGATTCTAGAATAGCAAAGAAGCTGAGAATTGAGAGAGAGGAGAAACAAATGATTTTTTTAAATTGTATATAACTCTAAGAAGTTTAAATGTGAAGACTTGCATTAGTTTAACAAGATGTGTCATCCTCATTTGGAAAGCAAAGAATTATGCTCTGAAAGGAATTGAGTGAAAATAACAGTTGAGTCAGTAAAATAAATACTATTTGTGACAGAAATGATTAGTCTTAAGGTTCTAATGATGTCAAAAACTGTCATCTCCATGTTCTCTTAATTTTATTTTATTTACAGACCAATACTCCAATTTTATAGTACACTTATGAATCTCTAAAATGTTTTAAGGATGTTTGAGGTATTTTAATGAGAACCCAGAGGTCAGTGCTGTTAGTGGCTGTGTAGAATGAAGTCATTCATATTAGTTATAAAATGAATTATGATTTTATTCTCTTCATAGTGTTAGTTCATTTTGACCCAGAGAGAAATATCATGGTTGGAAATTACAACAAAAATAAATAGAATAAGCCAGGGTTGGTGGCGATTGCCTGTAATCCTAGCACCTGGGAGGCTGAGGCAGAAAGGATTGCTGTGAGTTTGAGGCTAGCCTGGGCTACATGGCAAGTTCAAGGCCAGCCTGCTACATGGCAAGTTCAAGGTCTCACAAAAAAAAAAAAAAAAAAAAAATTAAAAAAAGGAATAGTCAAAGGAAACGTGTTTTTCATATATATGAACATGTTCAATCTGTTAACGGATGTGTCTTCTGCCAAACTGAGAGACAGTTTATGCCATGAAGTGAGGAGAGGCCTCCTGTGACTTAAGGTGCTGGCTGTTACTGTGAGAAGGCTGGGTGGGTAAAGTGGAGCAAGTGGGATCAAATTGCAGTCAAAACCTAGAGAAGGTGAAACTGTTTGAAAAGGCTGGGAATATTACAAATGCAGAGCCTTACAAGTTATGTTAAGGTCCTAATGTAGAAAAATGCTGTTTACTCAGTCATACACCTAAGGTGGGACTATTGCTTACTTGCAGTCAGTTTGCTTGGCCAGGAGGTTCTGAACATTTTCTTAGCCTTTCGTATGCTAAATTTAATTGTTGGTTAGTGGAATGCTGTTCTGAATATGGATTAAAACAGAATGAGGTGAACAAATGACATTGTAATTATGATGCTCTTGCTTTCTTGTTGATCAGCTTCTTACAACATTTTATCTTATGAACCTACACTACCCTAAGGTGGTTTCCCTTGGTGTTTTTCTTCCTACTCACTCTTAAGCCTTCCTTTTATAAGGACTCAGAGGCTGGCAGATGACAGATACTGGTGGACGTGCATTCCATTTACAAGTATGTGAGCCAACATGTTTGGAAGGCAGGGCGAGTTGTGGCCTAAAGCTTTTTGGAATCTGGGCTGAGCATGAAGTGAGATGCCAGCATACTCTTTGCTGTAGCAGCTTAATTTTTCCTCATGTAGAGTAGACATGAATGTGTTTGCTTTACCTTAACTTAATTATGAGCAGGTAAAATGCACATTCCCAGTGTGTAATGTCTGCAAAGAATGTCCATATTTTATTTTAATATATGTCAGGACTTCATGTTTTACCATGAAAAGGTCCCAGTAGGCTTTTCTCTGAATTGTAGCACCATGTTACTTTCTTGATCTTTTTAAGGAACACTTTTAAATACTGTGAGAATCTTGTGGATTATTTTCTGTTTTGTTTTCAGAGTCCCCAGTGTGAGGACAAAAAGAACCAGTCTGAGAAGCTCATCTCTCTTTCAACACTGGAAGATCCCAAAAAGCCAAATGACCTTTCCAGTTCTACTTCAGATAGCAAAGCAGGAGAAAGTGACAGACAACCAAAAGAAGGCTTTTTGCATTTTCTTGGTAACCTTTTCAATATCTCAGGAAAGTCATCTCTTGGTGAAGTGAAGCAGTCTTCTTTCAAAGATGACCATGGTAAAACTGAGCAAGATTCACAGACTCCTTGTGACAGTCATGTGGAAGATAACAAAAGAGAGAAGGAGATTTTCAGTGGCTCACTAGTAATCCAAGGACTTCCAACAGAAGAACAAGAGCCCAACTCAGATGAACTCTCAGATGCCTTTTCTTTGGATACAACACAAGACAGTGAACAGGAAACCACTGATTTGCTGAAGTAAGTTTAATATTTAAATGAGCCAAAAAGTTGGGCTTTTGAGCCTAACTTTTTAGCCTAATTTCTGATCCTTATTAATTGGATGTACTGGAAAAAATTATTCTTTAATATCCCTGTTGCAGGAAGTATAATTTGGAAGCATGCTTTAGGACTTGAATTGGAAATATGTATTGAGAACTCTAAAATGTGTACAGATTATTTCTGATGATGTACGAAGGTGTTGAGTAAAACAGTATTCATAGTGATATCACAGGAGACACTTGTCCAACAGCAGAGAAATGGCTAAACTGTATGTCCATAACATGGAACTGTGTAATGGTGTGTAAAGAGTGTGCTCCCAAGTTATTGGCATTCCTTGGGAGCCATTAGAAGTGTAGGTGCTCTGATTCAGACTCGCTGATGCAGCATCTCTGGGAACCGGGCCCAATAATCTCACAGTTTCTCCGGGTGACTTTGGATACTGTCACTTGAGATCCAGCATTGAGAAGTAATCTAAAATGGTAGCGAATTGAATGGAATTGCAAGTTTGTGGTTTTTCTCTTTTTGTCTTATAAGGTTTGTTTATTGGGTAATGAACCACAGACAATGATAGAGGATATCGGTCCTCCTAATTCTTGTTAGTAAAGCCCTCTTTGTTAATAGAATGAGTGGCGGCAAATTGCTGCAGCAGGTTATTTGTGTCATTGAAAGTTCTAAAAGGCTCGCCATCGCTGGGATTGCTTAGGGCATTTGTCCTGAGCCGTCTCAGCAAAGAAAGGTGACTCTTAATGAAGGAAGAAGGAAAAGACATCTGGATTCTCAGGGTGACTGAGGTACAGGTTTCCTTCAAACTTGGCTTTGGAAATCCCACAGCCTATCAGACTTCAGTTTCTACTGTTAGTAATGTCCTATTTGCAGATATCACTTTCAGAATTAAAATGTAAAAGTTGAATCCTATTTTGGCAGCAGTTTATTTTGATATTTAAGTTTAAGGACTGCTCACAACTGATTTTACATGTTACTTAAATAATATGCTTAGAGAATTGTGTGCTAATTACTAGAATATGGATTTTAAGTATTCTAGTTGATGTGGCTTTATAATATGAACTTACTAAAAGGGATATTTTTAAGTTTGCTCTTCAGATCAGGAGAGTGTGTTAAATATAAAATATTATTTAAAAATAAGAGCTTATATTTATAAATTTACTAGATTTGCTTTACATACAAAAATTTCAGATTTTTTATGTATAGGGAAGAGTGAATTAACTAAAGTTTTGCATTCCCTTTCTCATGAAAAAATGATGCTACTTTATTTCCTTCATAGGTCTATAATCAGAGTATTAAAAAAGATGGATGGCTTTATACAAATTGCTAACCTGCACTGTATAACATTCATTACCATACTATCATTTTTTGTAGTTACTATCAATAGCATTTTAAAAATTTAAACAAGTTGTGACCTGTTGTTCAGACTGAATTAAATCACCAAAATGCAATATAAATGACTTCATCTTATCTTAATAAAAACAATCACCATCTTTTTAATTGTTTTTATCTGTAGTTCACTATGCAGATTTTATTTTTAATATTCATAGTAAGAAAGTCTGATAGGAACATAATTTAGATTACTTTCAATATATTAGCTCATGCTTTTTGGAAAACATATTGGAAGCTACTTTATTATTGTTATTTAATTTCTGTATTACAAGTTTTTATATTTTTCACATGCTCGTATCCATCTTAATGTGAAGCTCTTTTTATCAAAGCTCTCTTTAAAATTCTCAATTTTTCAAGCTTTTCTTTAAGTAGAAAAATTAAGAGCCTTCCCCACAGTGAGAGAAAATATGCTTAACTATAAAATTTCAGAGGAAATAAATGCTTTTTAAAGAGAAAAATTAAAACAAAATTTCAAAATGAGACAATAGGACAGTAACAATGGTTAATACATTGCATATCGTTATCTTCAAATTAGTTACTCAGAGTACAAGGTATTGGCATTTAATTATTCAAATAATATTAGCACAGACCTTTCTTTTCTGTGAACTAAGAGAAATTAGTATAACTATCTTATATATATATATTTTTTCCATTTTTCCCTTCCTTTTTTTCTCTATTCCTCCATCCCAGTTTCTATTTCCTTTTGAAGTTTCTTCCCATTTTACAATATCTGTTGTATATTTCTTATTTACTCTTTTGGCTTCTCACACTAGGGAGACAATACAAAGTTTACACATGCATATCTGGTTATTTCACATATGAGTATGGTCTGGAGTTGCATCCATTTACCTGTGGAAGTCTCCAGTTATTCTGCTTTATGGCTAAGTAGTACTCCATTATATAAAAAGACCATATCTCTTTTATCCATTCTTTGGTTGATGGACATTTAGGTTGTTTCCAAGATCTGGCTATAACAAATTGTGCTGCTATAAACATGGGTGCACATACATTGCTGTAGTGTGATGTTTTTAATTCTTCTGGGAAGATACCCAGATAGGAAATATCTGGGTCAAATGGGACCTCCAATTCTACTTTGAAGGTCCTAAGAAGTGTGTATGCATCTCAGATTCCCATTTTTGGACTGGGTCTTTGAATTTGGGAGATCTGATTTTTTTTTTGAGTTTTTTGTATGTTCTCGATAGTAATCCTGAGGAGCAGCTGGCAAACATTTTTCCCACTTTGTGGATTGTCTCTTCACTCCTGGTCGTTTCTCTTACTGTGTAAAACTTTTAAATAAAATCACATCCCAGTTATTGATTCTTTGTTTTTTTTTTTTTTTTTTTTTTTGGTTTTTCTCCGGTACCGGGAACCGAACTCACGACCTTGCGCTTGCCAGGCAGGCACTTTTTGCCGCTGAGCTAAATCCCCAGCCCCTGAGCTAAATCCCCAGCCCCTGATTCTTTGTGATAGTTCCTCTGCCAGCTGGGTTTTATTCATAAAGTCTTTGCGTACACCAGTATCTTAAAGAAGTTTACCTATTGTCTCTTCCATTTCAAATTTAGTTTAGTGCATGGTGAAAGATATGGGTCCAATTTTAATTTTGGCATGTGCAGAGCCAGTTTTTCCAGCAGGCTGGAAAGAGGCTGTCTTTCTTCCAGTGAATGTGTTTGGCACCTTTGACAAAGATAAGATTGCTGAGTATGTCTGGAGTTGTTTCTGCATCTTGTAATCTGTTCTATTCATTTTGGGGCCTGTTTTTTTTTTTTTTTTTCCATTACCATGCTGATTTTATCACAGTAGCTTTATAGTTTAGTTTCAAGTCAGAGACTGTGATGCCCCCTGCCTTGTCTTTGTTGCCCAGAATTGCCTTCCCTATTCTAGGTCTTTTCTGATTCCAAATGAATTTTAGGATTTTTTTCCCTAATCCTGTAAGATATACTATTGGAATTTTGATTGGAATTGCATTAAATCTGTGTAACAGTTTTGGAAGTGTGGCTGTTTTCATTGTATTAATTCTTCCTACCCAAGAAAAATGGATAGCTTTCATTTTCTGATATCTTCAATCTCCTTTTTCAAAGTATTGTAGTTTTCAATGTAGAGGTCTTTTCCTTCCTTTGATAGATTGATTTCTAGGTATTTCTTTTTTTTTTTTTTTGGATGCTATTATGAAAGGTATTATTTCTCTAATTTCTGTCTCAGTGAGTTTGTTATTCATGTACAGGAAGGCTATTAATTTTTGAGTGTTGATTTTGTATCCAGCTATGCTGCTGAATTTGCTTATTAAATACAGGTATTTTTTTAATTTAACAGTTTTTAAATGGAATTTTTGGGGTTTTCTATGTAAAATATCATGTCATCAACAAATAATGGTAATTTAACTTCTTCGTTTCCTATTGTTATTCCTTTTATTTCTTTCTCATGTCTAATTACTCTAGCCAAAGTTTCCAGGACTATGTTGAATAAGAGTGGAAACAGTGGACATCCTTATCTTGTTCTTGATTTTAGAGTGAAAGCTTTCAGTTTTTGTCCATTTAGTATGACATTGGCTGTTGGTTTGTCATAGATGGCTTTTATCTGATTGAGATAAGGACCATCTATTCCTATTTTCTGTAGGGTTTTTATCATGATTAGGTGCTAGACTTGGTCAAATGCTTTTGCTGAATCTTTTGAGATGATCATATGGTTTTTGTTTTTGGCTCTATTAATACATAGTGTATTATATTTATTGATTTGCGTATATTGAACCATTCCTGTATTCCTGGGCTGAATCCCACTTGGTTAGGGTGTATAATCTTCTTGATGATTTGCTACATTCTGTTTGCCCATATCTTATTGAGGACTTTTGCATTTATGTTCTTTGGGGAGATTGGCTTGTAATTCTCTTTCTTAGTTGGGTCCTTCTCCAGTTTTCGTATCATGTTAATGTGTGCTTCCAGAAATGAATGAGGAGTATTGCTTCCCTTTTAATTTCATTAAAGAGTTTGAGAAGTAGTGGTGTTAGTTCTTCTCTAAATTTCTTGTAGAATTCAACAGTGGATCCATCAGGGCCTGGGCTTTTCTTTGTTGGTAGGGTTTTAATTACAACTTTGATTTCATTGATTGATATTGCTTTATTTAGCCTTTTTATATCTTTTTGATTCAGCTGGAAGTAAAAGTTTTTTTTGGTTCCCGGAATTGGACTCTGGACCTTGTGCTTGCCAGGCAAGTGCTGTGCCTCTGAGCTATATCCCTGGCCCTGTTTTTGTTTTTGTTTTTGCTTTGTTTTTGGTATGGGGAATTAAACTCATGACCTCTGCTTGCCAGGCAGGTGCTATATCTCCAGCCCTGTTTTGTTTTTTATTTTAAAGAGAATAAAAAAATTTAATAAAACATTTAAAATGAGACAAGATGATAGGAAATCAAAAATGGTTGTTATATTGCATATTGTTATCTTCAAAGTAGTTGTTCAGAATACCAGATATAGGCATGCAAAATTGATTAAAAAAAACATTAACTGTTCCTTTCAATAAACCAATAGACATTAGTAGTACAGTTATCTTAGCTATCTTGTATGTGTGTGTATACACACACACACACACACACACACGCATTTTTTCCCTTCCTTCTTTCTTTCCCTCATCCCAGTTATTCTTTCCTTTTGAGCAGTTTCTTTCCCTTCCACAATATCTATTGTACTTGTTTTGTTTTTGAGTCAAGGTCTCACTGTGTAGTTCAGGCTTCCTTGAACTCACTGTGTAGGGTGCCATCAAACTCATCACACTCCTCCTGCCTCAGTCTCCCAAGTGCTGGGATTACAGGTGTGTGCCACCACACCTGGTTCAAAAGGAAATAAATCTTAATGCTAAAAAATTCTTAATCATGTTTTCCTAAAAATAGGTTCTTTTTCTACAACACTAGTTATTATTTGCAGGTGGCTGTTACAGAATTTTCTTTGAAAAATGGCACATCTTTGGTTACCTTTTGAAATATCAGGTTTATCAGATTTATCCAGTTTAGAACACAACCATATTAAAGAGAGGTTTAATAAACATTCACATGAACAACAGTGATATCTTGGGCTGCCATCCCTAAAACCTTTTCAGGTTTTCCAAACATATGCCTATTTCCTTATATATTTGCAATTTCTAAGTATTTTTTGAAATCTCCTAGTATTTCATAAGTACCTTTTTTCTTACTATTATTTGGGTTACATACCTTTCAGATACAGAAAAGCTTTGTAAAATACACAACACATGAAATGAATACTCCCTTTTCTTCAATCAGCTTGTGAAAAATGCATCTTCTTAATTTCCTATGTTCAGCTGATGTCTAAAATTATATATTTCTGGCATTTTACTTTAAAAATTACAAAAATAAAATGACAGTGTCATGTTCTTATATTATTCAGGTGCAGTAACCTATGATAGAATGGCCATAGAGTATAGACAATGTGGGCATGACTAACCTTTTAAAGAGTTGTAGTGTAGCTCCTTATTAACTGCAGGGACTAATTATAATGCACAAAGATGAGCTTATAACTTTGATGTTCAGTACTTTAAACATGATAATTGAGTAACATTAAAAATGCATTTTTTATTTACAAATATATAACATTTTTATGTAGGGTGCTATGGAAGATTATCTGGCTAAAATTTTTAAATTAAAATTTTTAAATTAAAAATAAAATTTATTTTTTATATGTTTTTTATTTTAAAGAGAACAAAAATGAAAAACACTAAAAATGATTCACAATTTCAAAACAAGTTGATAGGAAATCAACAATGGTTGTTATATTGCATATTGTTATCCTCAAAGTAATCGTTCAGATTACCAGCTATAAGCATGAAAAATTGGTCAAAAATTTTTAAGAAAAAAAATTAAGCATTAACCGTTCCTTTCAATAAACCAACAGAAATTAGTAGTACATTTATCTTAGCTCTCTTGTGTATATTCATATATATTTTTCCCTTCTTTCTTTTCTCCTTTCCCTCATCCCTGTTGATCTTTCCTTTTGAGCAGTTTCTTTCTAGAAATTTAAGCTAGTACATATAGATCTATTTAATCATTGTAGTTGAAGGTATTCAGAAAGCCTGAAAAAATGTAAAACATTGATTCGTGTCTCCATATTCTAAAATTACAAAAAGCATTATTATAGTAAGTTGAAATTTAGTGGACTTTTTCTTATGGCTTATTTTGAGTTTTTTCAGATCAAAGTGGGGATGACTCAGGAAAAAATACTGTAAGACCTACTCAGGAAGGAGTTGGCAATAACAGGACCTAAAGTTACTATGCCTAAAGAATAAAATTATGATGCTTATTTTTATTTCATGTTTTAGTTGACATCATGAACATTTTTTGGGTATTCCTGTCTTCAGATTATATTAGTGATCTTTAGGGGAGAGAATTGTAGTCTATTAATAAAAATCTCTTGCTTGTATTCACATATTCAATTTTAATAACATTGTTGTGAAAGGCTGTTATATTTTCTGAATGGTCTATGTATTTTGATATGTTATTTCACTGATAACTGTATTTACCCATATGCATTTTTGCTTTCCTACATATTTTCATAGGAAGGCTACCATATCCAACTTTTCACTCTGTTTAAGTCTTTAGCCAACCAGAAACTCATGCAGCAACCAAAAACTCATTTTGCTTTGTAAAATTTTTCCAAGGCAAAGCTTTTCTCTTAACGTATCTTCTTTAGCTACTTTACAATTGACATTAAAAAGTAAATGAAGGTAACGGACATTTTTTACAACTGTGGTTAGGTAGAATTTTATAGGCTAGCAATATGGTTTTAAATGAATTATTTCAGCTAAAATTCAAGAAGTATTGAAGAGGTGCTTCAGAGTTGATGAAGTTTTTATATGTCAAATGAGATTTACCTTGTGTTATCATGTAGGCAGATCTAGCATTCTTAATGTCACTGCTTTAAAAGTGAGGATAAATGTATGTTTTACAATGAGAATTGAGTTTCTTATTCACATGGACTGTATAGTAACTTTTTGGTTAATGGTATGTTTAATCTGAAAAAGTCAAGTAAAATACTCATCCAGTCTTACTACCTCAATTTTTATGGGCAGGACTCTATACCTTTAACATTTAAAATGCTTTAATATCATCTATAAGAATGAAGACATTACTCCAAAATAGGTTCATCAGTATCATTGCTTTACTTAGTCATTAATTGACAGAAAGGCTTTAAACATATACCATTTTCTGACCTGGTGGGCCACATTTAAATATTCAAAGATGATTAAGACACAGTGCTTTCCCTCAGGCTACTAGGGAGAAAAATAAATAATTGCTTAGATATTTGTAATGTACTGTGGTGAACTGTGTTCTGTGCACCCACATATCAGACACTAAAAGTCCATTTTAGGAGAAGGGACAGGTATGTGAAGAACATGTGTGAGCTGAGTCTTACAGGTGAAGATTAATGTCATTTTCTCTCTGGTGCTAGGATGAAAAAGGAATGATGTTCACAGATGGCTGCACAGCACCATGGGTTATATGAGAACTCCCACAAGTAGATTCTTCAAAGGAAATTAGATGCTGAGAACATTAGAAAGTGTATGCTGGGGTTGGTTCTCTACTCTTTGTAGAAATCTTTTTCACTTTCTGCATTTACCCAAGCAATTTAATACTCACTATACTACTTAAATATTTGAAAAAGTTAATATGACAGATTTTAAAAGCAATTCTATCATTGATTCAGTTAATAAATATATCATGGACATCTGGACATCTTACCAGATATATTTCTTTAAAATTTCTTAAACTATTATGCTGAAAGTTGCTGTTCAAAATCATATGTAAAAGTAAAAGACTAGAGTAGAAACTTGCTATGATGCTCTGAAGTGGCAGAGAAATCATAATAGTGTATCTATGATTGTGTGGTACCCATATGAAGAACAAATCCAGTGGTTTTTTTAGTCACATGCTTTGAAATAAAAACTAGAATCCAAGTGTTGAAATTGTCATCCCACGTTCTTTTTCTCTTTTTTCCACATAGCCTGAGAGCTAAGCAGGCAAGAAGGCATGGTTCTAAGGAGCTCAATCATTCATGTTGCCTTGATATTCACATGCTGCTAGTGAATGTCATTATTATTTTTAACAAATCGTTATTATTTTTAATAAAGATAAATTTAAAACACTGTAGAGTTTCTTCCTCAAATGAGTACATTTGAAGGGAAGTGGTATATGAAAGATATGCTTTACCATAATTGCTGGGATTAAAGTAGTGTTATAACATTTCCTGATACTCTCATGCTGTTTCTTTTCATAGACAAATTGGTGGTAAACCAGAGAGGCCTTCAGTATCATATGCAACATATCAAGGGCCCAGACAAATTAGGAAGTATTTAAAGCAACAGATCATGTTGGAAACTGTGGACCCCTTAGACAGAGAAAATGAAAGTTCTGATTCTAGTACAAACACATGCATCGGCCCTAGAAGTGAAATGGAGGCTGGGATAATACCATTGTCATCAGCTAGCACAGGCATACCCATGGAAGCCTGTTTGCTTGGAGACCCATTAGAAGACTGTAATTACAGCAAAATAAATCTCAACACAGAAATCCATCTGACGTATGATCCAGAACTGCAGAATATTGCCTCTCTTAAAGATGTTTTAAATAAAAATGGTCCTGGGGGACCTGAGAGAAGTCAATCATCCTCTTCTGTGACTAACTCCAGCTATGCTGTTAGCGAATCTGCCTTACAGCATCATTTAAGTCACATACCTGTTCCTCAGAGTGACAGAAATTTGGTGTGTTCAGCATCACTTATAGGAAGTAAGAGTGGCAAAGTTTATTGCAATCCAGAATTTCGAAGGAAAACTAAAACAGAAAATATTGTGAGAGAAAACTGCTCTGTGACAGATGATGGGACATTGTTGCACAGAAACACGCACATTGAGCCTCAGAAACCTGCTGTGTCTGATTTCTCTTGTAGTAAATTTGATAAGAATGACACTACCGGACTGGAAACTACAAATTTGTCAAGTCGGAATAAATCAATTAGGCATGAAGATCTTCATTTGCCCGAGAGTGAGTGTTCTGATAAGCAAACTTTAGATAACTCATCAGTGCAGGCTGTCACTGATGCCAGCACTATTGCTGTCCAGGGGCCTGCTGTAACAGACACAGAACTTGTAAATGAAGGAAAGAAGTTACCTTCCCAAGGCTCACATAAAAATTTGGCCATTACAGAAATCAAGCAAGAAACAGAAAGTGTCTCAACTGGTGAATCCACAGTATCGAGTCATATAAAAACTCTAGAAGACAGAATTGACTCATTAACCAAAGATAGTGACCAGTTGTTTGAAACAGAAGCCAAAAATCTTGATTTTGGGCCACATGATAAATCTGCTTGTATTATAAATCAAAATGACCCTGCCTCTGAAAAATTCAAGAGTGAATCATCAGTTGTAGCATATTTAGAAAATAAAATAGCACCTGAACTGAATTTTGAATGTAGTAGAAATCACAGTTCTGAATCTCCTCTTTACTCTAAGAGCTTTCAACAAGCCAAAGTGTCACCTGCTGATAAAACATCTCTTGGTCTTGACTGCAAAAAATCAAATTTTCATACTTTATCTTCCGCCTTTGTTTCTGGAATTAACAGCCTGAGTAACCTGGATCTCTCTGTTTTAAAGAGCGGAGGGTCTTCTGTGCCTGTTGGAACTGAAGATGCCAACATTTTTATTTCCCATCAGCTTAGTAAGTGTCCAAAGGAAAATGTGGCAAATAATGTTGAAGTTTCAGACAGGAAGAGTCTTTCTCCTCCCTTTCACCTCAAATATGCATCTAAAATTCTTGAATCCAAGGAAACTCTTCCGGATAGGAAAAAATTCCAGTTTCCTCCAGGTCCTGAAGCCTGTGGCACTCACTTAACTGGGGTGGACCCATTGAACTTGGAGACTGGAAACCTCTCTAAAGTTCATGGCAACATTTCATTTCCTTCAAACACTAAAGTGAGTGAGAAGATGATAGAGAAGACTGATTCTCTTTCTTTGGAAACCAAAACTGATAACATTGCTAAAATTTTATCAAAAGCTGATATTGATGATCAGGACAGAGCTCCTTTTGTTTCACAGTATGGAAGAGGAAAATCTATATCCTTGTCAGACGTACCCGTTTCCCAGGTGGAGCCCAAAGACATTTGTCAGCATAAAGTTTCTTCTTCTCTGTTAGAAATTACAGATGAGCCAGCAAAATCTCTTTTATCAAAATTAACTTCTCCAGAGTTTAAACAGGACAAAAATTCTCAGTTGATGGAGCATAAGGAGAAACATTCAAATGCTGGTTCAGATGCTGGTTTCGAAGAGAATTGTCAGGCTGAGGTGTCTTCTGCTTCCAAACATCAACATATACAAGAAACAGAGGGAGCTGCCTTAGGTGATCCTACTCTTCTCAGAAATAATCTGCCTGAGGTTTTACATCCTGTTCAGAAGGAGGAAGTCACTAGAAATGTGGCACAAAATTGTGATGCCAGTCCTTGTGTCGTTCATCACTCTTTCGCCATTTGTGGAACTAAAAAGCGTTCTACTCTCTCAGAAATGGCCGAACTTGGCTTAAATAAAATTGCTTCAGAGTTCCAAAGCACACAGGTAAATTCACCTATTCTGGATTCTGATAGCAATTTGAAAAGTAATATGTTTACATTTGAGGATTCTGGCTTGCTTAATGTATCTTCTGACTTGGGAACACAAAGAAAAGCCTTATCTTACAGGAAGGGAGAAAACAATCATTTTCTGAGTGGTAGGACTGATAGTGCATCTTCTCCCTCTCATCATTCTGAGGAAGTTAGCATGGTTATGAATTCACATAATACTTCAAAAAACTTCAATTCTGTGGAAGTTACCATAGATCTCATATGTGCAGGTGCCTCTATAACTGAGTCACTGGACCCTAGTAGTTCTTATTTGGAACTAGAGACTCCTATCCCAACTGAGGAAGAAGTGACTGCATTTCAGAAAAGTGTTGAGATTCATTCTAGTAGAGTACCTCCTGATTTCCCAAACATTGCTCAGTGTGACAGACCCCTGGAGTCAGGGGTGGAAGCAGTTGCTGGAGCCTCAGTGTCAGTTAACAGCTCCAGTCAGCAGTGTTCTGAATCATCTGCTGAGCACACAGAAGCAAGGAGAAGAGCACATGACCAACTTTTGGACCTGAAAAGTGATTTACTCAAAAAAGCTGATACAGTTATTGAGGAGGTTTTTCATTCTGTCAGGGAAGAACTAAAGTCCAAACAAACAGTTGGTACTTGCGAGAAACATAAAGCCATAGATGGTGTAATGAATCCAAGTACCCGAAAAAAAGACATCCCTGAGAAAAACCCATCAGAAGTGGCATTAAGAGGAACCCAACAGAAACACTGTTTGAAAGATCAGGGCGTGGAAAACATGTCAGAAGAAGAAGAGAAGGACTATGTTTCACCTACTGTTGGTGAGACAAGTCTCCTTTTTTATTCTGATAGAATGAATGTGCCTTGCTTGTTAGAAGATCAAGCTAGAGAGTTAGTCAATAAGGCTATTTGTTCAGCCCAAGAAACTTTGAGATTTGATGGTTTTGAAGATACTGACAATACCTCAGATTCTGAACTTCAGGCTAACCCTTCAAAAATTCTGAAAAGTGATAGTGTTAAACAACATGATATAGTTAGGGAGTTCTTGGTATCAAAAAAGGCAATAAATCAAAGCACATGTGAAATTAGTGAAAATAAAATATTGAATAGATTCTTATCTATAAGTAACTTAGTTAATGGCACAGAGTCAGCTAAAGGAAGAGAAATTGTTCTTTACCAAAACTCCCCAATTTCTGGAAAAGGAGCTGGACAATCTGATAGTATAAATTTGCAGAAATCGGATACTATTTTAACAGCTGAAGATATGTCCAATAAAGGGTTAGATGATAGGGTAAAAGCACATTTATTTCTCAGTAAGAACTATAAGGAGACAACAGGACTAGAGGATGTGGATAATCAAAAAATTGGGACAGATGATAGAGGAACTCTTCTGTTAAATTTCAGATGGCCTTCATGTGTGAATGATGATGTCCATGCACCCAGTACATCTAAGAGCAGTTTGTCTGACAGTCTTGTATGTATATCTGAAAAAAGCTTGCCAGGACATAGTAAAAGCACACCCCTTGTACTGTCAGAAATAGGGAAAGTACACAAGAAAGATAATGAAGTAAATGTAGGAAAAATTGACCATGTACCTTCCATGTTAGAAATGGGAAAAACAAACAAAAGGGATGCTGAATTGAACATTGTCAAGTATGAGGTAGTTCTTCCTGTGTTAGATACAGGAAAAGCATGTAAAAGGAGAGCTGAATTGAATATTACAAAAGTGGAGTCAGAAGCTCACATTTTTAAAGTGGAAGAAGCATACCAAATGGATGCTGAGCAAGATCTGGAAAAACTGGAGGGATTATGTGTCACTTCAGAAATGGAAAACGCTTACCAGATGAAGAATACCGAAAGGGATATTGTAAAGAGTGATGTGACACCTGTTACAATAGAATTGGAAAATAATTACCAAAAGCATGCTGAAGGAGATGTTGGCAAGACTGCAGTAACATCTGTTACATCAGAAGTAGAAAATACCTACAAAAAAGATGCTGAGGGAATTACTGAAAAGGCTGAAGTGATAGCTGTTACATCAGAAATGGAAGACTATCAAAAGGATGATGGAGGGAGTGTTGCAGAGACTGAGGTGACACCTATTGGATTAGAAATGGAAAATATTTACCCAAAGAATGCTGAGAGAGATATTGAAAACGCTGAAATGACAACTATTACTTTGGATGTAGTAAGTACTCACCAGAAGGATGCCAAGGGGGTTACCAGAGAGAGTGGGAGCCCAGTGTTGGAAATGGGAGCTGCTTACCAAGAGTATGCTGAAGAGGTTATTAGGAATATTGCAGTGGTGCCTTTTCTATTAGATGTGAGAGAAACATATGAAAGGGCATCACCCATCTCTGTAGAGATGGACAAAAGTTACAGGAGAGATACTGAAGAAACTAATGGAACATTTGAGTCCATGCCTTCTAAGGTGGGAATAGAAATGACATCCCCAGAGGATTCTGGTGAAAATATTGGGAAACATGAAGTATTACCCACAGTGGTAGACATTGGGAAAACACATGGAATAGAACTGGAATTGACCGTTACACAAGTGGAGGCCGTGCCTCCTGTGTTTGAAACTGAAAAGGTACCTCAAGAGTATGCTGAAGGGAGTGTTGGAGAAATAGAGGAAGAGCTCACTGAAATAAAGGAAGGCTTGATACTGCATGCTGATAGACTTGCATCACACTTCAGAGGGTATGAATCCCCTACATTAAGTAAGGATTATGAGGGCTATCCTGCCTTAGCAATGCCAGATTTTCAGCCAGAAGATACAGCAGGAAGGCTCCACAAAATAATGTCTGTTTCTGTAGTATATGACAAAAGGAGAGAGCAAGATTGTAACGATGAAAAAGAAGAATCTAATTTAGCCTTTGTTTCTCAGGAAGAACAAGAAAATTCCTCTTTTACTATATTATATGAGGAGCCTCTTCAAGATGAGAAGTGTGCTTCTGCAGAAGTAAGAGGAATACGGCCTGTCTTGTTTCCTGATATGTCTTCTGATAGCTTGCCTGTTGTAGCATGTGAAAGGTCTGAGAGTAGAACTGACCTTGTCCATCATTTTGAAAAAGATGTTAAATTAAGTGAGACATTTGATGGTGATATTTCAGAAATGTTCTTGTCAGTGGAGGCTAAAAGGTACAAAATTTATCCCTTGGCTCTGAGTCCCATTTATGAGGATGATAGCTCACAGGAGGATATTCTGTCCAGTGAGGTCTCACCTGGTCACCATGGCTCCACAAAATCAAGAGAAAGTACAAACCAGTCCTCTTCAGTCTTATCACTTCTCCAGTCAGTATCAGAGCGTTTAAAGATGAATTTTGATGAAGATGATAGACAGGTGGCTGAAGAAGAAGAGGAGGAGGAAGAAACATTGCCTGAAGGTCTCGGAGCTCAAAGGAGGGAGCGTGTTACCTTCCATGTGCCAGACCCTTCCATCACATTTCACCCTGACCATGATGAGGACCAGGAATGCACTGACATTTCTAAGAACACATATGCAAGGTCGAGTGAACCCACGCAACCCACCACCTCCAATCTGCAGATTGGTCTGTGGCCAGAAAAGCCTTCATTGCCTCAAAAATCTGACCTTACTTCTAAACTGCATTCTTCTTTAAAGAGTGTCTATCGGCAGTATTTGCAGACTTCTCAGACTTATTCCTCAGAAAAAGGAGCCAAGTTTGGTGGGACTTTTCAGGAACCAATCTCCAAATATTTCCGTGTTCAAGACAATCCAGACAGATTGAGCCCATATATAGAGGTAAGCTATTTTGATTATTAACTAGTAAAATACAGCTTTGGGTCATGGAATCATTTAAAATCTTACTTTAAGAATGAATGTTCTGGGGTTGTATAAAGTTTGTTTTTTAAAAAATCAAATTTTTTCGTTGAAATGTGTCAGAATCATGAGTCTTAGCTGAACCATTACACTGAGAAAACAAAATTGCTGAGTCAGGTTTTCAAAGGCTTAGCAGAGAATCCTGTTGTTTCAGTTTTTGACTAATAATATCCTTCAAGCTAAATTAAGTGGTAACATTTCAAAATTCTGAAGATATTGTATATGTAAGAGTTATACTCTCCATTTAGATTATGTATCTCATGAGATAATTTGCATGTACTCACTTGACCTGTCATACAAAGCAGGGGGATAAGCTGCCTGATTTGAAGAAGAGCTGAAAAAAGACAATATGGCTGGAAAATGTTTTGAAATTCAGTTATATCTTTCTTTGGGTTAGAAATATTTAAATGTATAATATAGAATATTCACTGAACATGGGACCTTCCTTTCTGGCATTCCCAAGATCGTGGACTTTTCTAGAGGATTCCCAAACCCTGTATCTTGATCTTAAACAGGCTTAGTATTAGCAAATAGTAGTAATACTTGAATACCCACTAGTACCTTTTAAGGTAACATCATTTTAGAAGAAATGATCAGATGTAAAATAATGTTTTTTTGGTGATGCCCATTGCCTACCAAATCAAGTGGCCCCTCTTCACTGTGCTTATAAAGCCCTCAAGTTTTGTTTGGCCCAAGTTTGTCTCCCCACTCTCTGGCTAGACACACTATTTTCTACCACTATACTTTTTCCCAAGATGGTCATCTTCCTTGAATATTTTTGCTCCAGTGTCCCCATTCTAACCTGCCATTTAAAAAATATTCATTTAACTACTATTTTTAAAAATCCTTTCATTATTACTTCCTCTAAGAAGCCTTTTCTGAACCTTCCTGTCCTGTCACCTCACCTCCATGCTAGTTCCATTTTTATAACCTGGCATTTTCTATTTATTTCACCTTTGCATTGAACTTAGTCTTTCCTTTAGAAATTATTCAGGTATGATCATCTGTTTCCTCTGCATCTACACTTCTTAGAGGGCCGTGATATCATATTTTTTTTCTGCTCTTTTGCTCTCTGTCCTTTATGTCTCGAGAAGCATTTTGTTTGTAATGGTCACGCAGTAAACTACATTTATGACTGCTAAGAATGTGAACTGTGTATCTGTTTCCCCTGATGTTTCTTAAGGCTTATGTTTTCTACTTCTGTTATTTCAGAATGTTGACAAACAAACTCTGAGGTGTAACCCACGACCTGGGAAGGTAAGCATAACTTTCTAAAGCAGGCTAAGATGAAAGGTGAAAAATAAGTTTACTTTTAAGATTGGAGAGTTTATAGATAAATATTTTTATAGATATCCTTTCATAGATAAATACTATTATAAGATAAATACTTTTAACTGACTTAGAAAATTATTTTTTTAACTCAAAGATTTAATATTTGAAGTAATACTTGCTTTTATACATCTAGGACATTTTGGAATTTTAAATCCATTCTTGAAATTATTGTGCCTACCTACTTTATGTTGCAGATGGTTATCTATGATCTCCATGGAAGTAAATATAAACAAGAGATCTACCGTAATGTTCCTGATGCTACAGCATGGGCTTTTCTGAATGGAGTACTGATAAAAGTTGTAAGGGGCTGGTAAGATAGCTCTTAAAATTTTATAGCTTATTTTCTAAAAAAGTATCTTCTAGGGTTTATGACTTTTATATTTTTATTAAAGTCATATTTCTTCCAGTTTTTCTGTAGAACATTTTGAAATATTATTAATGTTTTATATAAGTTGTTCCTTTTATTTACTATGGCAGAGAACTCAGACTGATTTTAGTACTTAAAGCCAGCAATCACAAACCTGATGTATACAATCTGTGTCATCCATACCATTCTGTAACTGTAGTATTAGCAGGCTAACCTTGGCAAGTGGAGTTAAATGCTTCAGTTGAATGAAGCATAATTTTATAAATGACTTCAGAATTTGAGGAATACTAAAGAATATGAAAACCAAATATATTCATTTATATAGCTGACATGCTCAAGAAACAAATTAAGGAAAACCTTATTTGTTATTATAGATCATGAAATGCTCAAATTACAATTTCTTTGTATACTGTTTAGTTTAGCATCTGATCAGTATTCCTCCTGTAAACAGTTTGATGTAGTGTTGTATTCACATGTATTTTTTGGGGGGCTGGGGATTTAGCTCAGCGGCAAAAGCGCCTGCCTGGCAAGCGCAAGGTCGTGAGTTCAGTTCCCGGTACCGGAGAAAAACCAAAACCAAAAA